CTCTAGTCAGATTTGTTTGGGGTTTTGGTTTTAGTTTTCAGATATTCAGATGATGTAGAAGTATACATACAATTTCTAGAATAACTTGGAATTATTCATGCATAACAGACTTAGGACTCAATAAAAAAAAAGATACATTAAAATTATTGGCGTAACAGCTATATGACATGTAATTAAATGTGGCCTCAGATGTCGTTTCAAAGCTCCCAGGAGTAAACTGTGTGCTGGCAAGCAAGATGGTACAGGGCAAAATCGCTGAGAGGAAACTCAAATACATGGTTTGGGGTTTTAATTGAGGAAATGTGCATATGTCCTAAGAAAACCTTGGCTTTAAGCCTAATAAGGGTGTCTGTTGTAATAATCCTTTATGTTTAAAACTTACTACTTTGTTGAAAATATAAAATATCAAGAAGGAAGGAAAACCATTCATAATCTCATACTTAAGAGCTAACTATTGCTACCATTTTGATACATTTCATTTCAGTTTAATTTTGTGAGTATATATGTCTACTTTTAAAATTATTGTTAAAGATTACACAATTCTCTATATTTAATTTCACATAAGTCTCTTTTCATGCAACCTGACAGAAGCACATTCTCATATCATATGAAAAAGAGCTTTACTCTTTCAAACTCTTAGAAGAAAACAAGTATTCAACACACAAATCCAATTCCTCCTCAATTTATGGGAGAGAATAGTCCTTCGTGAAATCTCATGTCCCCGATCTTACTTTGTGCCTTTAATGCCTCAACGCCTTGCACTTTGGGTCAGACCTCTAGATCTCGGTTAACTGTCTGGGCACATGTTCAATCTGTTGGCATCCCCCTTGTATTCTATCGGCTCTGTTCCGATAGTTTGCTCCATTGATAGCTGATTGTAGACTGTTCTCAAGAACATTAATGCTTTATTACTGCTGCTCTGTGCTGTTACTACTACTCTTTTCTCCCTACTACTATCTCTGTGGTCCTCGACAGCTATGCCTCAATTTATCACCACCCCTTCAACAATTCAACCCAGCAAGTACACGATTGAACTACATTCATGATTATTCATGATCAGGAATCACGTGACTGTCAGATATTAGCTAAACAGTAACAATATAAAAACCAAAAGAGTAAAGATATTAATTTCCAATACTATTTGAGTTGTTTAAATGATGATTAACCATTGGAAATATGGAAGGAGGAAGAGTGCAGAAAGCAGAGCAAATAGCATGAGCGAAGACACAGGCATTCAAGGTAGGAGCAGCCTGTGGTTTAGGGAGGCTGGCTCAGGGCATGCAAGGAAGAGCTACAGTTGACCTGGAGAGGCAGACAAAGGAGAAAGAATGAAGATTCCAGAGTAAGAGCCTGAAGTTGACAAGGAGTCAACCAAAGAAACACAAAAACTGACTGCGTGAGTCTGAGGTTTGCAAACGAGAAAAACAAATGGAGCGCCCCACAGTACCTCCCAAACACCTCCACTTAACCCTTCTTTTATCAAGATATATTAACAGCACATTTGCCACAGAATTTAAATTTGCTTTTGAGTGGCATCCAGTTCCTAATCAACATGTATCTGGAAACTCTATGAACTTTGATAAATGATGTTAGTTATAGAAAGACTTCAGGCTCTTTGTTCATAGGGTCGCTATGAGTTGTGTTTGACTCAATGGCAATCAACAACAACAGCAACATATTTTATAGCTTATTTTACTTTTGTTATCGTTGAAAATACCTACAGCAGAGCATATACCAAATTGACCATTTTTACATGCACATTTCACTGTCCTTGGTTGGATTCTTTGAATTGTACAATCATCCTCATCTTCCTTTTCTGACTTCTTTCTTCCTCCTTTAACATAAATTCACAGCACCATAAGGTCCCTGTCTCATCTTTTGACTTGCTATTATCATCTATAGATCCTATATAGACACATCTTAAAAGAGCTCAATGTTCAAGGCAGAAGTTCTTCACTAGTTTAGCCATTGTTTGGTTTTAAGAAAACGGCAAGATTATTTTGGGGTGAAGGATTCAAATTTATCGCTGATCTCAGGGCAGTAGTTTCAGGGTTCATCCAGCCTCTACGACTCAAAACAATAAATAATATCTAGATTCCATTAGAATTAGAATGTGTATCATTGGGCCCCTTTCAATCAGGATTCTTCTATAGAATCTTTGATCAAAATGTTCAGTAATTCATTTTTAAAAACAGTTTATGATAATTGTATAATAATAATTAATGTTCACTATGTGAGTGTTTTATAGGTAATAAATGTAATATATAAAAAGAACACATGTGGGAAACCCAGTAGATATAATTTGTGGTTAATATGTCATTATGTATGTATTTTAATTGTTCATTTTGTATCTGACAATGCATTTTAAGAATTGTTTATATATATTTACATATGTGTGTATATTCACAGTTATGTTTTATAGAAAACATATTCCTCTTGTATTTGTGAAAATTAATAATAAGACATACACATGACTCGTGTTTCCATTTATATCATTAAACTAATCATATCCAAATGAGATGCCAACTTCATATGTCCCCTAAATAACACTTCACTTCTGGCTTGAAAGGCTTTTTTCATAGACTTCATAAAATATACTTCATTGAAGTAAAACTCTTATTGAGAATTTTAAAACACTTTTCAAGTTTTTAATAGAAACTTATAATAACATATGTAAAAAATACAAGTAATATTAAGTAGAAAATATAAGGCAAGGGAAGACATGTAAATTATTTTCTGTGAAGAGCAGAAGACCCTACCTCTAGGGGTTGGCCTGTAAGCTAATTAGAGAGTAGAAGATAAATTGAGATACTGTACGCTTGACCTCAGCCGTGCCAAATGCCATTCCCCCATCCAGAAGAACTTCCTTTACGCTGTGGTTATTTTCTTATCAGGCTTTCTGAAAAAGCTCTTTTCATGTCAGTGTCACAGAACATTTGCTTATTTGTAAGAAAGAGAGAGATTCTTCTGCATGTACATTTTTTTTAAATTTTATATTGGTTTCCATACAAAATTCATACACACTGTGTTTCACATTTTCCTTAATTCATGTTGTGTTTAATACAACCATTTCCATAACCCTGTGTTTTAGAAAATTACTTCCCATTGAATTAATCCCCACTGCATCTGACTTTTTAAAGGGCTTCAGTGTGTCGAATGTGTCTGAACAGGAAAGGATTGACGCAAGACGTTTAAGGAGGTTACTACCGTAGCAAGAGATCCGGCTGACCGAGGCTATTATGATTGCAGTGGATGGGGCGGGGGGCTGATGCAATATAGTGTAGTGTAGTCATATTTAATTAGATAAATCTACAGAACTTGGTGATAAGGAAGGTAATTTTTTTTTCTTCCCCCAAGCATGGTAACCAAACTCTACCATTGCAGCTGATTTAGAACTGGCTCAGAACTGACCTCTGTTGGGTTTCCTGAGGTTGCGAATTTCACTGCCAACACAAAGATACTCAGTTTGAATCCACCAGCTGTTTCATGGGAGAAAGATGGGCGATCAACTCCTGTACAAATTACTGCCTCTAAAAACCCACTATAGGGTCACCTGTTATAGGTCAGTTCTGACTCTGTGATACACAACATCACAGACTGAGAATATAGGCTCTTAAGCAAGACTACTTGGTTTCAAAATCCAAAAGTGCTCCACAATCTTGGACAGTTGACATAATCACCCTGTGTTTCCTACTTGCATCTGTCCTCTGTGAAGAGGAATGTGGCATCAGGACCAGAGGAAGACTCATCAATAACCTGCATTACACAGATGGCACAACCCTGCTTGCTGAAAGGCAGGAGGACTTGAAGCTTTTGTTGCAGAAGATCAAAGAACATAGCCTTCAATATAGATTGCATCTCAACATCAAAAAACAAAGATTCTTACCACTGGCTTTATAGGAAACATCATGATAGATGGAGAAAAGATTGAAACTGTCAACAGCTTCAACTTACTTGGGATCTAAAATTAACACCCCTGGTATCGCAGCCAGGAATCAGGAGATGTATTGTATTGGGCAAGTCTGCAGTTAGGGACATCTCCAAATTATTGAGGAGTATTGATGCCAGTTTGAGGACTAAGGTGCCTCTGATCCATGTGGTTTTTTTCAATCACTTGCTATGCATCTGTGACTTGGACAATGAATAAGAATGACTGAGTGAGAAAAAAAAAGATGCCCTTGAGCTTTAAGGTTGGAGAAGAGTGCTGAACATCCTATGAATGGCCCAAAGAACAAACAAATATGTCTTGGAGAAGATGTAGGCAGAGCACTCTTTGGAGGCACAGATGGTGAGGCTTTGCCTCACTTATTTGATTCATGTGACTAGGAGGGGTTATTCCTTGGAGAGGGGCATGATGCTTGGAAAGGTAGAGGGGAAGGGAAGAAGAAGAAGAAGACCCTCAACCATGTGGATTGACACAGTGACTGTTGCAATGAGCTCTACTGTGTCAGGAAGTAGGAGGATGGGACAGGCTAGAACAGGATTCAGACCTGTTGCTCAGAAGGTTGCTATGGGTCACACTAGACTTGATGGCACATAGCAACAACAGCTAGCACCAGTCTCAATGTGTTAAAATAATTAACTGAATTAAGGAACTTTATAAAATGCTCATTTAGAAGCATGCATTCTTTCTTATTAAGAGCTCTATAACTGTTGTGGTAATGCTGTTAGCTTATGTAGATGATAATGAAGCTTGAGGAAGGAAATACAAGTTTGTTTCAACAGTTTGAGCTGGAATCATTTAAGACTTTCAATAAATATTGACATACCACATCACCAAGGTGTTACCTCTCTCCTATGAATAGACAACTAAATATGTAAGTGGAAAATGAAGTTTAGGAGAGAGGTAACACATTGGTGAAGTGGTATGTGGATATTTACGGCATCAATAAAATGCATGTGAGATTTCCTGAAGAGACAGGATGACAAGACAACCACTATTCTTGAGCGCTATGACTAGAAGGAGAGCTGCGGCAATCGTTCCTTTTTCTGTTTGCCAGGTCTCAGCTGCAGGAACCAGATACAGAACGAAGAGGGACCACATGCTGTGCAAACTGATGTGCTTATGCATCGCTTACTCCTCCACCATCGGCGGCCTGACCACCATCACCGGCACCTCCACCAACCTGATCTTCGCGGAGCATTTCAATACGTAAGCCAAGCTGCTGGGCTGTTGGTTTAACAAATGGGTAACACACACGTTACAACTGTTCGTCTGACCTGATTCAGAGAATCCAATGAGAGAGGTACTATGTTGGGCTAACTCTCATTCAATTCCCATTAAGATACATATGGGTCTAGGGGCATTCTCTTGTAAAAGAGTTAAAGGTGCAGAACACAGGGAACTGACAAGCTGGCGGTGCCTGCCCATGCCCCAGGCCAGCTAACTGCTGGCTGACCACTTCAGTCAAGCAAGAAAGTTATTGCTTGTTATAGCTCATATTGCAAGGGGTGGTCAGGTGAGGTTAAAACAGGTTATTTGAATGTAGTATTTATGCAGAGATTTAGGAGTGGTAGTTGAATACATATACATATATGTACACATACATATAGGTATAATACACATATACATA